TCTCATCTGGACTGTTTATACAGTCCTTAAATTGCACGATACTGTGAAGAAAGGATTTTGATTCGTCAAAACCCGCTGGTTGTTGAATATTAACACAACAAATGTTCCTCCTATAGTGACAGTCTATTCGATTTGCGAAGTCTCGAAATCAGTAATTAGAAATGCAGTATCTAGTAGACATAATTTAGATTCATTATACAGGGTGTTTCGAAATTCGACCGACAACGTTTGACAGGTGATAGCCCTCGTGATTTCATAATCATTGAGATAGGAACATTCGGTCTTCAAGTGTTCAGTTCTCGAGATACAGGGCGTTGAAGTTGAGAAATGAAAATAGTTGTTTCGCAATATCTCAAGAATAATTGAATATAATGCATTCAACTTCGGTATATGGTTTCATCTTTGAATGGGCCATTTTTTGACCTGAAAGCCATTCCGGACATTTTGTCCAGTGGTGCCCTACAGGGGGTTGTGGCATTTTTTCCTTCCATATTTTCTACGCCACTGATTGAATTTCGATTATTTCCAATTCCTCGAATTCATTGTTCAATTTTGTTCAGAAAATGCATCACCTTCAACTGAGCTGAAATAAACAGTTTTCGAGATATTCGACCCAAAATAGAAGATTGCATAGTAATATTTCATCATTTTCAGTAGTAGAAAATTGCAAAAATATTTTTCTGGTGTTGAGTAGATTAGATACTATTCAGATCCCATTCCATAGCTGAACAGAAATAGTTATTCCACACATGAAGAGAAAACAAAAATTTTCGTAATTTTTTACTACCGAGGAAGATGAAAAATTACTATGCATACTTCTATTTTGGGTCAAATATCCCGATAACTGTTCATTTTAGCTCAGTTGAAGGTGATGCATTTTTTCAACATAACTGAACAAACAATTCGAGAAATTGGAAATAATTGAAATTTCATCAGTGGCGTAGAAAATATGGGAGGAAAAGTTATCACAACCCTCTGTAGCGCATCTCTGGATAAAATTCTCGGAATGTCTTTCTGGTCAAGAAATTAATCAGTGAAAGATGAAACCATATACCGAATTTGAATGCATTATATTAAATTATTCTTGAGATATTGCGAAAAAACTATTTAAATTTCTTAACTTCAACGCCCTGTATCTCGAGAACTGAACACTTCAAGACCGTCTGTCCCTATCTCAGTGATTATGAAATCACGAGGGCTATCACCTGTCAAGCGTTGTCGGTCGAATTTCGAAACACCCTGTATATATTCATGGTGGCCTGATAATAAGTTGGAATTTCATCATTTTTCTGTTTCATCATTTCATCGAATATTTTGGTTCACTGATGAATTATAGAAGTGTATATATTTTTTGTATTAATATTCATTGAATATGTTCATGTCATATTTGCGATTACTTCAGGAGCTCACAATGAGGAATGCTCGTTCTTGTCACGTCCAGGATAACCTTGGGAGCTTGCAGAAGCAGGAAGAAATGCTTATTAATTTCCTGTTAATAACCTTGCGAATTCGCAATGATGAGGAATATTTCAAATCAATGGCGAGATATCCGTGATTTTTTGCGGACGACTCCAGAGAGTATTTTCCATTGTGACAACCTATAGTGAGATTTGGCCGTCGCAGAAGGATTTCGTATTATGATCTAGAAGAAAACTTCTTAGAGATATCGCGAAGAGATCTGTGAATGTTACTAAGGGAGAATAAAAAGTGGAGGTAAACATTCGGAAGTTCTTGAGTAACCTTCTTTTGGCAAAGAATTCTATCGCAAACTCAATGAACTAAATCGCAGGAAGATAAGAACATTATACAGTAAGAAGTGATGGCGAAATAATATTTGGGCGTTGAATACACGATCGAAGCAATCTGCCATTTCCACAAAATTGCTTTCCAAATAGGGTCTCGTCTTCTATAGCTCAGTTATTAGTTGAGTCGGGATTTTGATATTTTGCAGACTCCAATTGTGTCATAAGGCGCAAACTAGAAAACAAATTTCGATTATACAGGGTGTCCCAAAAAAGTGTGACGTGATAATGATTTTTTTTTTAATGGCATGCCATATATTTTGTTGCACATTTGAGTGCTCCTATTGGTTACCTACATACTCCTGGAATCAAATTCGAATCGATTCAGTGATATTCACGTGAAAAGAATATAACAAAGAAATTAAATTTTGCCTCACGTCAAAAACATTGATTACAAAAGAGAGAGTGCCTGCTTGGTAGAATCATGATAGATACATATCAAATAGAGCCTAGGAGGGTCGCTAATCAAGTTTGATTGACACGAATCATCACAGGGTGTGCAAAATTTAGTGGCAAACTTTTCAAATTTCAAATCACTATATTTTTTTCATTTCAACCCATGAAAATTCTCATTGTATCAAGAGTTATTTGCCGAAAACTCATTTCGTCAACTATTCTGATAGTCATTTGGATGAATGAAAAACGGAAGTGGCTTTGAGAAGTGAATTATTAACATTTGACTCCAATGAAGTGTCAGCTTGTTATAACATTATCATAGGTTTTTTGAGCTGTTTATAACGAAATATCGTTTTTTTTTCTTGGAGTACAACCAAGCAGAGCTCAAAGATATGATTTTCATATGAAGAGAATGTGAGAAAAACTTTTTTGCAGAACTTATAGGTTTGTACGAACCGAAAATGTAAAATATACAAAACCAGTTACCAGAGATAGAACGGTTCGAAATGAAGAAAATAAATTGACTGTGCTGTTATTTGTTACAGAAAATTCATTCATTAGCCAGCAAGCAAACGCAGATGCCCTGGACGTGAGCGAAAGAACTGTTCAGAGATATTCCAAAGAACAACCGTTTCCATGCCTATCATATTCAGTTCCATCAAGAACTCTCTGAAGAAGATTTTGAAAAACGTGTCGAATTCTGCAACTGGGCGCAAGGTGAAATTGAAATAAATTTCGACTTTTTTGATGAGGTTTCGTTTTCTGATGTGGCCACCTTCCATAAGAATGAATTTGTGAATCGTCACAACTTCCTTTATCACTCCGATCACAATCCAAGGATTTAAGGCAGATTGATAGACAATACAGATGGTCAATGAATGTGTGGGCGGAATTATTGGTGATTATGTTATTGGTCCCTACTTTTTCGACGGGAATTTGAATGGCCCTATGTATCTGGATTCTTTGCGGAACCAATTGCCAAAATTATGTGGAAAGATGAAAAGATGATAAGAGAAGAATTCGTTATTCATTCACGCATCGAATGTCATGAAAATATACAGGGGCTATAATTTGAAATAAGAAAAATAAAGTGCTTCGAAATTTGAAAATTTTACCACTAAATTTTGCACATCCTGTGATGATTCGTGTTAATCAAACTTGGTTAGCAATCCTCTCAGTTCATATTTGATATGTTGGCATCTCTCATGATTCTATTGACCAGGCGCCCTCTTTTTTGTTATTGATGTTTTTGACCATTAGTGCAAATTTGATTTGTTTTCTAAATGTTTTTTTATGTGAATATTGCTGAACCGATTTCATTCAAATTTCAGGAGTATGTAGGTAACCACCGAAAGCACTCAAATGTGGCAAGAAAATATAGGGTATGTCACGACGAGCCTACACTATCTCTATATCGAGAATCAGTCTGGAGAAATACATGGTAATATGCATGCTTATATTTCACAATACGCTCTCTCCATCTGAAATAATTTCAGCAATTCAAATAGAATTCCCTATAGCTGTATTTCATTGCATTTTTATATTCTCCCTGAAGAGTTGATTCCATCGATACTTCAAACTTGGGGTATATCGGAAATGATTACAGATATATAGGGTATTCAAAGTCGAGATTTTCCAACTAGAAATTGTTTGTGTCGAAACAATTAATTATCGGGTGGTCCAAGATTCAGAATTTTGATCACCCTGTATCTGTTTCGATTGAATATCAGTAAATAGTGAAGTTGAGATAGAGATATGTGAGCCGTTTTGGCCGATAATGAATATTTTCGACACAAAAAAAATCCTAAAGTTGAAAAATGTCGATTTTGAACACCCTAAATCTCTGTAATCTTTTTCGATGGAGTGATTCATCGATGAAATGAGCAATTCAGAGAAAATCTACAAATGCGATAAAATACAGGGTGTTCAATTCGAAATATCAATGTTGCTACTACTTTTCTAGTAGAAGCGGCAATACTGCATTGCCAAAAATATTTCAAATGAAGAGGGTGTCTTCTGAAATGTTCATGGATTTCTACCGACTGATTCTCGATATAAAGATAGTGTAAGGTAACATACTCTGTATATGGCATGATATTTAAAAAATATATCATTATGACGTCACACTTTTCTGGGACACCCTGTATAATCAGAATTATTTTCTTGGTATGCGCCCTATGAGACAATTAAAGTCTGCAAAATATGAAAATCCTTACTCAACTGATAACTGAGCAATAATCTGTGAGACGTCGCATGGAATGAACGAAAAACTATTTTTAGAATAGAAACTATGCAGGAAGATCAATCTTTGAATAAATATATTTGTCAAATCTAAATATTGGATTATTCCTTCAGTTTAGATAACAATGCTCCATGTTCTCGCAGATTATATTTACCTATATATCTTTTGTGACTTCCTAGGTACGTTATCAATACAACTATGAGAAAATGAAACAAATGGAGAGTAGCCTCGAGAGTGGCTCAGGATACAAAAAATGTATTTGATTTTTGAAAGAAGCATACCTATCATATTATTATCTGGTTAAACTATTGTAGACTTGCAATTTTTTCCTCAATTCAATCACCTATTACTACCAGAACTCATATTTTCCCCTCACTTCTACACATTATATTGGAAATGGGCCATTACATAAATTCTTGAAATTTTTGTAAGCATCTCTCGGGCTATCGGGCGCTTTCCCCGCCAAAATATTCGCATTTGACAGTACTTAGCGTCAACTACTATGTTTATTCCAAATGCAGCTGAAAACCTATTCAGTTGGTTGCTCGTGTAATACTAACCTTGAATCGAAGATCTCCAATTGCAGGTTTTCCGAACGGTATACCCAGAAAAGATAATATTGGATTTCCATCTATATCAGAGCCGATGAAGCCACGCAGCTTCCCTTCCTCAATTTCAACAACCGGCGAGGCCATAATAATCTGTTCCAAAATCAATGAGTCAGTTCTATGAGTAGATGAGGTAGAAGATGGAAATAATGTAGGTATTCGTCTAGCGAGCGCAAAACACACTATAATACGGTCAAGGCCGATAGAAGTGGGTTTGTTATTCGGTTTCAGGACTTGATATAAGTAGGTACAGTTATCTTCAGTCGACATGACGTCCTGATTCGGCATGAACGCTTGTTACCTACACCAATAAAGGCGTGTTTTCCTAGAGACGGATTTTTTTCGTCGCGTATAACGGAATACGCCGACTGTTAGTGAATAAGTGCGACAAACTTCAGAGGGTGATCCCTTGTGATATTTTAGGAAATAAAGTTCATACAAACATGTATTCTGACTTGCTTTGTTTTTGATATACAGGATGTTTATTTATTTATTTATTTATTTATTTATTTATTTAGGATTTTAGGTTGCATACACAGTACAAAGTACCAAAATAGCATCCACATTGTAGATACGTGGTGAGGCAAGTTATACATCAGTTATATAGTTAGCAAAGGAAATTCGAAGTATATGATGTGGAAGAAGATGTAGAAACATTAACTAGTCTTGATGAATAATACAAAAGATATACATAATACGAGTAAAGATATTATATCGAGTATTATATATTTAGTTATAGGAAACTATGATTGACGATTTCGAGTGAACTGATTTTTGAGGATCATTTTGAATCTATGTAGTGATTGAGAAAATGTCTATGTTGAGATTATTACAATATCTGTTAAAAAGATTATGCATTCTATTCAGAGAAGAATGCTGTCCTACATTCGTCCTGCTGTACGAAATTGCAAATAAGTCCGTATTTCGGGAGGATCTGTTAGGGATTCTGAAATTGATTTTAGACAAAAGATATGGCGAGTCTATTAAGGAATTCAGTATTTTATGAAACGTACATAGGTCTGTTACAACTCTCCTATCTGATAAGCTCAGTGATGTTTGGATCTGATGAAACGGTAGTTGTGATCTTCGATAGTTGTGTGTGTTTTGAATGCGAGAGATCGTAAAAATCTGTTTTGGACACTTTCGATTCGTTTTGTGTAAGTTGTATATTGAGTGTTGCAAATGACTGAGGCAAAAGATATTTTACTATGAACGAAAGCGTAGTATAGTGAGATAAGCGCATTGGAATGATCAAAGTCCTTCGAGTTTCGGTTTATGAAACCAACCATTCTGTTAGCAGAGTTTATCGTCCTTTCGATATGTATTTTAAACAACCATTTCTCATCAAGGGTCACTCCCAAGTCTCTTATCTCAGATACACGCTTCAGGTCCGAATTGTTAATTTGATACGTGAAATTTAATTTATTGAGTTCTCTAGTGAAGGATATGTTGAAACATTTCGATGCATTCAAAAAGAGTTGGTTCTTGCGACAGTATGTTTCGAGTCTGTCGATGTCCTGTTGTATTTTGAGGCAGTCATCCAAGGTTTCTATTTTGCGGTATATTTTTAAATCGTTCGCATAAAGCAGAATATTGCAATTTTTGAAGCACATTTTTATGTTATTAATATAAATATTAAAAAATATTGGACCGAGATGACTGCCTTGAGGGACGCCAGATGTCACCTTGAAGGGGTTTGATTTGTGACCAGAAACCGATACTCTACTTTGCCTGTCAGAAATATAAGATTCAGTCCATTTGATAAGTGAGTTGCTCACACCTGCTTCAGAAAGTCTCTCTAGTAATAATAGATGGTCGATTTTGTCGAAGGCTTTACTGAAGTCGGTGTATATAGTGTCAATTTGAGACTTTTTGTCTATTTGCTCAGATACATACTCGGAAAAGCACAAAATATTGGTTTCTAGCGAGCGTTTTGGAAGGAATCCGTGTTGCTCTTCTATAATGATATTTTTGACACACGGTAGGATTCGGTTATAGACGATTTTTTCGAGCATTTTACCAAACACACACAACTTGCTAATTGGACGGTAGTTTTTCACATCCTGTTTCTCACCGCTCTTGAAAATTGGAGCGATTTCAGCAATTTTCCACTTTTTTGGAAAAACTCCTTTATTAAGAGATAAACTGAATATGATACTTAGTGGTTTGCTGAGATTTTCCATGCATCTTCTTATGAACATAATGGGAATTTCGTCCGGGCCTGCACATTTATTGGTGTTTAATTCCCTAATTATATCAGATATTTGGTCTTCTGTGACAGGATCCGTATGACTATCCCTGTTGTTAGGGTTGATGGTTTTTATAGAGTTTGGTTGTACGAAAACACTACTGAAGTAGTTTGCAAACAAGTTGGAGACATCCGTGCCTCCATTAGCTGTAATATTATCGTATTCGACATTCGACTGTGTGTGGAATAGAGATATTGTTTTTTCTCTTACTGGCGATGAAATTCCAAAACTTTTTGGAATTATGTTGAATTTCTGATTCCATACTCTCTACGTAATTACTGTAGTCCCTTCTTATCAATCGTTTAGAGTGGGTACGAAGTTCACAAAATCTGTTGAAGGCATTTTGGTCATTGTATTCGTTGAATTTTCTGTGTAATCTATTTTTTTCGTGGATAATTTTTATGGTTTCGTATTTGAAGTAACTTGGAAAACGACCTTTTATTTTTCGAAGAGGGACAAATTTCTGTATATTGTATATTGTAGAAGACTTCGACGATGTTATCAATGTTGTTCCCAACTAATATGTGCTCCCAATCAATTTGTGATAAGTGGTGATTGATGTAATCGAAATTAGCTTTATTGAAGTTATATATTTGGATATCGGGCGTGGCAAGCGGTTTTGAGCAATACATCCCCCATATGAACTCTATGGCATGATGATTGTGGTTTTCTTCAACAAGGCAATCGGATGAACGTTTAACATTCAATATGAGGTTCTTGTTGCAGAAGATTAAATCGAGAATCTTGTTATTTTCATTATGAACATGATCAAATTGCATAAAACAGTTATAAGAAAATGCATCAACAATCTCAGAAAACTTGTTTCCTGTTCGAATGGGTTCGTAAAATACTTCATTATTGATAGGTAACCAACTTACAGAAGAGAGATTGAAGTTTCCGACGATTAGGGCAGCATTCTTCTGTAGGAGGTTTTCGTGTGAAGATGTTGAAGTTGAAAGTATTAATCGTTTTTATTTATGACACCTCTGTATAAGCTTTCATGGTGACGAAATTCAGTATGGCTGCGGAGACTGAAGGAGTCCTAAAATTCCAAAATGATTTTTAATGGGGTTATTAAGTAATCCCAATGAATGTTTCGAGAGCACCTACATTAAAATTTGGAGTCGGAAGGAATATTTATTGTTTCCTCAAAAACTAAGCGAGATACAAAAAGGGCATGAGGAAGTAGATATTTCAATTGTTCAATCTAATAAAAATATGGAAGTCAAAAAAACCAGTGGCGTACAATGATATCATCCACTGTGACGCCACTGAAAATATTTCTTTCTAATTTTATCACATCAAAAGAAGCTCCATGTTACATTCAACAAAACCACCAAGTTTTATTGAAATTGGTAGAAAGACATTTGAGTAATGATTATAGGACACACGTTTATATAAACTTTATTTTCTGAACTATCACAAGGAATTACCCCCTGTAGTTTGTCGCACTCATACTCACTAACACCCTGTATAAAAATGGAGTTTAGTAAGAAACTATGAAATGGTGGAGACCTTCATATCATATTTGCTGAATATTGAATGTACCAAAAGTATCAGCACGACTCCACCGTCTTCGAAAAGAAGTACGCTATAGCAGTTTTTCCTCATATTTCATTGACCGTTGGTCCTATCGTAGTTAGACTCCTCAACAAAAATGAAGCTTATCAAAATCTTCATGAACAAAATTCGGTAAATTTTGAATGATGCTCGAAATCAATTATTTCATCATTGTGTCCTCATTCAATGCATGTCATAATCAATCCATATCTATTTATATATCAAGGGAGGAAATATATCCATTTCTTCCCGCGTGTGAAGTTTGATGCACGATGCGTAGCGGAGGGCATTAAACACACATGGGAGGAAATGTACCTCTGCTTCTAAGATATACAGTGTGTCTCGCTTCTAATGGAAACACCAATTATCCTACGTAATCGTTGGTTAAGAATTCTGAAATTTGCTGGAGGGAGAGATATACCAAAAATGCACTCTATGGCCAAGTGGGGTCATCTTCAGTAATGTACACTGCTCGCCATGGAACAGCCATGGAACCACCCCAATTTCCAGAAAATGATATTAGGAATCAAAATAGGATGAAAGTCACTTCGGATTCGGAATCAGGACGCCCAGTTCACTTACTATTAATAATTTTCCTGAAAATTTTCCAGTTCTGAAAATTGTATTTTAGTCTATCTTTTCATGGAAACACCCCCGTATCTTACGTATTCGTTGGGTTAGGATCATGAAATTTGCTGGAGCGAGAGATATACCAAAAATGTACTCTATGACCGACTGGAGTCATCTTTAGTGATATACACTGCTCGCCAACAGCTGTGGAACTACACACATGTCTGCAAAATAATATCAAGAGACAAGATGTTGTTGAAAATTACTTCGCATTCGAAAACAGGACGCATAATTCACTAACTTCCCATATTTTGATGCAATATTATCGGTAACGATTAAGTGCATTTTACGATTGAATAAACTTTTCCTCCTGGAATGTCGGTGGTTCTATGGCTGCTGGTGAGCAGTGTATTATTGAAAAAGATCCTACTTTGGCCTCTTTCTTGTTTCTAAGAATGTTAGACTCCTACATCGAAAATTACGTAAGATACTGGGGTGCTTCCATGAAAAGTGAGACAGAATTTGTACTGGAAACTTTTCGGAAGGAATATTAGTAGTTAGTGAATTAGACGTTCTGATTTCTGTTTCTCGAATCCGAAGTGATTCTGCACTGAGAAAAACTGGATAATAAAAATATCTACCAGCTCTGATTGCAAATAACCATTAGGAGGAAATCTTTTATACCTGATCACTTTGTTATTACAACAGTATCCTCTCCATTCTGTAATTATTATCAAAATTGCTTTCTTGAAACATTTGTAATACCTCTGAATGGACATTTGCTACCGTCATAACGCAGATGTGTTATGACATTATAAGTATTTCGTAAATTCTAGTCTATTTGAATTTTTTATTGACATAGCTCGTTTTGTGAATTATGCTTATTGGTGAATTCAGATAATGTTTGTCCCAATAATCAAAGCTGCTTGAGTTTCGAGCATTGTACGTTGACGAATTACTATAGCAATTCACATCCCAGCAAACAT